AGTCTTCTTAATTAGTTATCCTCATATAATATCACCACCATAAACTTATCATACTGGGAAATTTTCTCTGTTAACAACTAATTGGTGTCTGTCGCTTGGTAGTATTTGTTCTTTTGAGGAAGATCAGATTCTGATATTGTCTGTGGTTTAATGAATTTGATTGCATGTTAGCTGAAAGGTGGAATATGGAATCATAGAAATTGTGGATGGAATTGTCACAAAGGTAATGATCTTCCTTGCTTTTCTGCTGCCCAGTGTTTTTTTCCACATGCCTAGTATATGGGCACAGTAATGACTCTCCTAAAGCCCTTCCTGAATCCCAGTTCCCTCTAGAGGTACTGGAGGAGCAGACCATCTTTTGAGTTCCAGCTGGTGAGCACTTGTAAACTTCCTTTATTTTATATCTACACTGCCACTTTTTAATATGAACAAAATGAGAGTTAGGATATTAGCAAGGTATTTTTGTGGCTGAAAAGAAAACACGAATGCTCTATCAGCAGTGTAACATTAACTGTCGTATGGTACAACAGTACATATACTGCAACTCTAATGTCTCCCTGTTCCAACTTGTGCATTTCAGTAGAAGATTTTATGATTCTGACACGGTGTGATGTTGTGAACCAAAAAAGAGTAAATTAGGCTAAGATACTTGGATGCCAGAGGATGGTGGATAATGCACAGTCATTTATTAGATTATTCTAATCAAGTGGTAAGAAAACTTCATCCACCTAAATGGTTTCAGGTGGATGTTGTAATTGCCAGTACAGGTGTACAGGTTTTGGAAAGGAAAGAGTTTGGTTTGGTCTTGAAGATGGCAGGGGAGAAGGGATGGAAACCACGTGCTTTATTAGAGCAGTCTGATCTTTAGTTAAATCAAAATTTGAACTCTTTATGCCTTCAGAATTGAAGTGGTGTTAATGGAGATGCTAATTAAATGTGATAATTGCTAGTGAAAGTTGACTGTATTGCAAAATGTAATATTCTTATTTCAGCCTATGTTAAATCAGTTTTTCAAGTCCAGGATAGTTTTGAGCGCTTGTTACAGTTCAAAGTGTCTTGGATTCAGCGCTTGGGATATGGAAAAAACTTAGAAAAACATTAAAAGGAGTCCTAGTGTAACAGAATCTCAAATCTGTAGTAGGCATTAAGTCAGTTTCGAATTGGTTCCCAGACCCTTGCTCTTTGTACTTTCTGCATTAGTACAGAATTTGATTTTCATGTGTTAGTAAGGAAGATGTGATTTTTGTTGGAAAGACTAGAAGATAGCTGTGATATTTTAACCTTGACTCTGATGTGCCCTGTGACTTGTTAATCACTAGGGAAGACTTGCTCACACAGTTGCACCACTACAGTTTTTTTATAACTGTGGGGCTGATGCCCTTGTTGGCCATCTTCCAGTTAGGAGTAGCTCTTTCCAGCTTCAACTGCTTTCAAAATAATGATTAAACTGAGGAAACTCACTGTGATTGTGCAGTCAGCATTTCCATGGGGAGTTCTGAAACTGGAGTATTATAACACGATATGAATTTCCTTATGGTGCATCAAAGATATATAACAGCAATTGCTAAATTTGAAAATACTCTAATAAGGAGTGCAAAACCAAGTCTTTGTTCCTCTGTAAGAGGAAAAGGTGAGAATTTGCCATGAGACACTGTCTCAAAGGACAGTAGTATGGTCTCTACCTTATCAGGCCTTTTCTGGGGTATGGACTAGTCGTGGTGATCCTGTTCTCATCTGCTTTGCCAGGCGTGCTGCTGGGAGATACAGAGCTGGTGGCAAGTCATGGCCACCTTAAAATGGCTTGGGGTTAGGCTTTGCAAATTATCATTCAAGTGAGGGGAGCCCTCTTGTTTTTAGAGGTAGACCTCTGCTTGTGGGTTGCTTTCTGACCTTTTAAACGTCCTCATCAACTTTCCCAGACAACTTGATCTGGCATCACTTGCTTGGCTGGATTGTCAGATTCCTAGGTGACAGCTGTGCATGGATTTAACCACATACTAAAACCTTGTTGCCTCAGTATAAAAAGCTAATTTGGTAATATGGTTGTCATGTGAACATACAGTGTATAAGGCCTTAATTTGTTTGAAGTGCCTAAAATTCTTGTTCTCCAGAGTGTCATCTGCTTTGGTCTTGTTAGCTTTCCAACAGCAAACAGCAGTTCAGCAATCCTTTTGTATGCTCATTCCTGAAGTTTGGGTACAGATCCAAACATAAAGTGGTATTCTGTGTAAAACAGAACGGAGGGCTGGGTGGTGAACCCACACCTGTAGTTACCCTGCACCATCAGCATGCATTTATGGCTGGCCCTGCAAGGGCCCAGGTCACTTGTCCTGGTGACATGAGGCAGTCAGCATTGCTGGAGCAGCCATGATGAGTTTTTATTCAGGTAGGGCAGGATTCCTGCTGGATGGAGCATGTGGGTGGACTGTCTGGGAGCACTGCAGCTCAGAGAGGCCCAGGGGCCCCTTTTGAAGAAAGTGGAGCATACTAGTGCTGGCCTATCGGGGCCAGCTGGAGGTGGGTGTGACTTGCTGCAGCTGCTCTGATACTCTGCAGAGAGCTCCGTGACACTACTGGGGCTGGGCACAGCGTGAAATGGGGGCATGCTGCTGGGCTGATACACCATGTGGGGTTCCAACAACTGTACAGTGACTTTGAGTGCTTTGTTTATTGTCTGCATAGAATTGGCTTCACAATATTTTACTGATATTGATTTCTCATGTTTGGGAAATGCCTGTTAGATTAGGATCCGGTGGCGGTGTATTTACACCAGTACAGTATTTAAAAATCACCATGTACGTCTTGAGCATGCTGAACAAAATGTGGTGATACTGCAGCTGTGGTACAGGATTAATTAATTAACAGGTAAATTAAATGCATTGGTGCTTTCTGATGTTTTGAAGGTACTGTTCAAACAAAGGCATCTGGTAAATTTTCCTCTCTTTTTTTCCTAGAAAAAGGGAGATGATTTTACCTCTTAGCAGAAATTAATTAGAATATGTCTATGTTGAACAACCCACAAAAATACATTAAGAAATTTTAATGGTTTTTACCTCAGTAGAAGGATATAGTAATTAAATACTGAAAGAATGGCTAATACAAAAATATTAAACAGCTATTTCACGAAATGATCAGTATCTAAAAAAAATTGAGACTGTTGGTGTAACTGTGGAGTACAGCCTTGTAATTATGATACACTGCTTATATCTTGGGGGGAAACAAGTGCATCTATAAATGGGGTTTTGTTGCTGTTGTTAGACGTGCATCACAAGTGTGTCATGGCTGTAAGTATTGCTTTGACAAGCCTGACTTGCCCCCATGCTAAGTCATTCTGCCTGGCTCTGAGCATGCAAGATACTTTTGGTGTAGGATTATGGTCTAGCTTTTGAAAAACAGTATTTGAGTATGAGACTTACTCTGTTATCCTTACTTTTTTCCCCTTATATATTTACAGTAAATAACATGCAGTTTTAGTCAAGATAATGTAGGGAAAGGTTTTGAGGTAGTGCTGGTTTAGGTTGCATTAACTCATGTTTGTGCAAATTGACTTTTAACCTTTGTAGGATACTAAATAGTTTGGTGGTGATGTATCTCTTTTTGCTTTTGTGATGGACTGTCTTTCTAACCTGCAGGGTTAAAGGTGGGGAGAAAGAAGTTTGAAATAACAATTTTGTCACTGCTTGTGTAGTTAGAAGGCTCAGAAGACAGAATTTGCATTATAATGGCTCTCATTTTGCACCATACTGTGTCATTTAGTTGTGTTCTGTGTGTGTAGCTCTCGGAAGACTTGGAAACAATTATTTTTTTATTACTCCATTCACTCCTATCTATCAGTCCTTTACTGTTCTTTACTGTAATTGCCCATAAGATAAAGTCTTTGCCATTTTCAAATCACTTTGATTTCTTATTTACTATGAATACTAGATTGCTATACAACTTGTGAAGCTAGTGGTACTTCATGTGGTGTCCCTGGGTATTGTGAAATTTCTCAGTAGGGAAAGGGAAAGTAAAAGCTGGGAGAGTGTTATATTTGCATTATCTTTGGTTTTCTCTGAAATGTGTAAGAAAATGACTTAGTTTGGTGTGATTTATATGAACTCTTGGAACTCTAAAAAAATCCAATCAACAGTAATGGAAGAGTTTTTACTTGCTTAGAAATTTTAGAGAAATAGGAGGCCTTAAGAGCAGGAAATCTAAAAGGAGGTTGCAGCGTGGGTATCCTTGTTTAATTGTAGATGGAACTGTTCAGATGACTTGAGCTTAGGCACAAATACAGATGTGAAAGTTGATGAGAATTACCTCATTTCTTGTTTCAGCTACTCAAGTATTTTCACATTGAGGAAAACCAAGCTGCCTTGAAGAGTAGTTGGTAGGGAGGCCAGAAGCAGGTGGCCATTGGGGAAGTGCTGCTTTTGATGTTCTAGATGTCAGTACCTTTCTTACAGAGACTGAGGTGCAGGAGAATTTAGTCTGCTCGGTGTGCATAAACAGAATTGCCTAGAACTAATAACAAGTAGTCTCAAAAGAAAACAACAGTTTTAAAAAAACAGCATTGCTTCAGTAAACTTAAAACCTGATTTTATGCATCTAACCATGTAGGCTGTTGATAAGCCTATTTAAATTTTCCGATTTAATGTTGAGGAGAAAATGTCTGTTAATTTCTGAATTGGCATGTTAGGACTCTTAAAAGTATCAAAATTATAAAGGCTGTTTGTTTGCTAGTGATGGAAAAAAGTTTGAAAGTTAGACCAGTGAAGGGACGTACTGCATTACTCCAATTATAAAATCAAAGTGAGTTTTATGCTGTGTGAAAAAGAAATGTGCATGTGGTCTCTTGAAATACTTCTGCATCTGAACTATGCTTCACCTGGCTGTGATCCAGGTTTTGGACAGCTTTCCTTCTCCCTCTCCCTCTTCTTTGCCCTTCCACCTCCTTAGAATGCACATGGTTGATTTCTTTGAAATCATACATGGTGAACAGTCTTTCTCTTTTCTTTCAGGGACCAGTTACTCTCCACAGGAAAATTCACACAACCACAGTGCTCTTCATAGTTCAAATTCCCATTCTTCTAATCCCAGCAATAATCCAGGCAAAACTTCTGATGCAGTGAGTATTTGATTTTTATCAATGTGTTGCCCTGTTCATACATACCATATTTTCATAATTTTGTCTAAGACAGGCAGCATATACAGTGTGCTTGAGTTTTCCAGCTTCAGTCTTTATTTTATAAACATTGTGTAAACCCAACCTGCAGTTGTTACGTGTTTTAAAACTATTCTAATTGCTAACCATTAAAGCTTATGTCATTAATTTAAAAATATTAGATTATTTAAATGACATAGACACAGAAATATTTTCCATTAACTTTGTGGTAAATCCAGAGCAGACAGTGTGATTTTACTTATTTGAAATGCATTACGTATTGTGAATTTTAGTCACTTCAGCATCAAAGTTTTAGTAGTTAGAGTGGTGTAAAAATATGCCCTAACCCAAAATTGGTAAATTTCTGATTGGTGGAAAATTTTGGAATGGTAGTAATTCTGGGGATGTTGTAAGGTTGAAGGAAACTAATGTTAGCAGTATTGACCTTACTGTATCCCATTAAATGTACTACTGGATTTTGTTAAAGGGATTGATGGGATGGGAATAAACCAGAGGAAACTATTGCAGAATGCAGCAGGAGGCTACTCAGTATTGACCTTACTGTATCCCACTAAATGTACTAAAGGGATTGATGGGAATAAACCAGAGGAAACTATTGCAGAATGCAGCAGGAGGCTACTGGTCATGTGTTCAAGATATCATTTAGAGGTTGTGGAAAGCAATGATACGGGTACATAAAAGGTGCCATGTAGTTTTAAACACAGTGAAAGCTATTAAATTTGTATATCAAAACTCTCAAGTAGTCTTTTGTCAACACTGTTTGTATTTTAAAGGCTTATGATTCTGCGGATGATTGGTCTGAACACATCAGCTCTTCAGGCAAGAAATACTACTACAACTGCCGAACAGAAGTTTCCCAGTGGGAAAAACCAAAAGAGTGGCTGGAAAGGTATATGTTTGTATTTGTTTTAATTGTATAAAGAACAAATATTCTTAAGCACATTTCAGAGCACTTGAGCTTATCTAATAGATTACTGCTATAAAAGATTGTGCTCTGCTGTGTTCCTACCCTTACCGTGACCTCTGGCACCTCTTTTATCCCTTGACAATCCAGAGCCTGAGAGGGAGGTATGGTTGGTTTGTGTGGAGATGATTTATTGGGGAGGGTTTTGTTGTTTGGTTGGTTGGTTTGGTTTTTGTTTTGTTCTGGGGTTTATTTGTTTGTTTTCATTGGATTTTTGTTTTGGTTTTCTGGGTGAGTGTTGTTTTTAATGTTTTGTTTCAGGGTGGGTTTTTTGGGTGGTTTTTTTTTGGACAAGATTAGTGAGCTGAACTGGTATATTGTGGGCTTCAGCAAGCAGGGATGTAAGGAAGCAGTGGCTGGAGTTTGCTAACCCCCCTGTAGCAGCAAGCTCTTAACAGTTTGATTCATCTCGTGTAACCTAGAGAAACTGTTTTATTATTAAATAATGTACGTTTTTACCTAACTTCTGTTTTCTTTTCTTCAGAGAGCAGAGACAAAAAGAAGCAAGCAAAATGTCAGTTAACAGTTTTCCAAAAGATAGGGATTACAGAAGAGAGGTGATGCAGGCGACAGCTGCCAGTGGGTTTGCCAGTGGAAGTATGTGGTTTTTTTACAGCCATGTATTCTTGCCTTGCTTGCATTAATGTTTTCTTTTCCAAACTTCAAAAACTGTAAAAAATCCCTTTCCTTAGCTCTTTTTCTCACCTTTTCGTATATAAAAACCAAAGTGGTAGCACAGTTAACTCTCCCAAATGTGGTTTCTTTAAACAGCTTTACTAGTGCAACATTTGCTTAATTCTTTTCATGGTTCTCCTCCTTTTTGTGGCTTTTGCTGTCAAGTTTAATTATCTTCATGGGTAGTAACTTGAACAACTTGCATTGCAACTACTAATCTGTAGTTTAGTTGGACTGTTGTGATCATTGAGACCTGCTAATGTCATATTCTGACCTTAAAAATGAAGATTTCACATCTGAAAATAATAACCTAATTCAATGAACTTTGATATCAGGGTTTTCAAGAGGCTTGTGTGTATTATTGAGAGGATATTTTTCCCTCACCAATACTCTTAGCAAAATCTTTCCTGGACTATGAATTTCTGTAACTTTGAGATTTTTGTCTTAACACCAAGCTCTAATCTTTGTCAGTTTTCTTCTGGAAAACAGTTGTACTGTGAGATTCTGCCTGTGTGCTGATGTAGTTGGGATAAATTTGTAGCGTAGTTCTCGGGGTAGTTTAAAAGCAGAAGCCAAAGTGTTATTCTTCACCCATGCTCTTGGGATTTGACAAGGTGATGTATAAGGGGGTATTTTTCTGTGTACACTGAAACTTACTGTATATGCTAAAATATACTGGATGCTGCAGAAATATAGCAGTCATGCATAATGCAGTGAGTATTTGTTTTGTGACAGGTGAAAATGTGAGAATCTATAAAAGAATTACTCTCTGTTTACTTGGTATGTTCACTGAGTAGCATATTTTAGTCTATGATCATGTGAGCAGTGCAGATGAGTCATTCATTTAATATATATAAATTCCTTGAATTAATTGTAAGTTTGTTGTAGTAGTACTCAAGTGACATGAAGAGGAATTCTTAGAAGGCTAGAATGTGAAACTGTTAAATTATACTTGATGTTCAGGGATTTTGATGAACAAAAGAAAAATGGCATAAATTATCTCTTCACACTAAATACAAGATGGAAATAATAGATCCTGATTTAGATCTTTTTAGGAGACTTCAAAAGTTAGCTTGACTGTAACACTCGTTATAAAGCATCCTTTCATCAAAACACAGTGCTTAACTGGAGCTCTAAATCAAGTAAAGGTCAGAGAAATTGCATTTTGTCAGTGAGTAGAATGAAATTTTGCCTTTTTTGAAGCTGATCTACTTGAAGCTTTTTGTAATCATAAGAAGTTCAATCAGCTCTAGTTGTTGGTGTGCAGCTGTATTAATCAGTTACTGCAATCTTAGACTTGTTTCTAATTTAATCTTTTTTTTTTTTTTAATTGCAACGTTACTTGGGGAATCCTGAAAAAAGTGGAAGACAAGCATTCCAGTGACACCAGCAGTATGCTCCCACAGAATATTTTATCTCAGACGAGCAGGCACAATGACAGAGACTACAGACTGCCAAGAGCAGAGACTCACAGTAGTTCTACTCCAGTACAGCATCCCATCAAAACAGTGGTTCATCCAACTGCTACCCCAAGCACTGTTCCTCCTAGTCCATTTTCTCTACAATCTGATCACCAGCCAAAGAAATCCTTTGATGCTAATGGAGCATCTACTTTATCAAAACTGTCTACATCCGCATCTTCCATCCCTGCACAGAAAACAGAGAGAAAAGGTATGTCTAATGAAATGCCCTCTTGTATTCAAGATGATGCATTGCTTTACATTGCTTGTTCGTAATATGTTAGTACTAGAATTTAAAGATTTTTTTTTTCCTTTTTGGTTGTGTGTGCTTTTAGAACCTGATTACTGTTTTGATGTGTTTACTTTCCCTCAAATCCAATTTGCTGTGTCTTGTACAACTTCAAATTGACACTGTTATACTTACTGTTTAAGGCTTTATTCTGCAAATTAACATTTCAAATGATAATTTGAAAGATGTATTTTTGTAGAACATATTTTAGTTCTTGTTTTCTCTCTTGTTGTTTTGGATCTTTGCCATTTATTTGAGTTGTCATGTAGTTATGCAATTTTAAAGTCATTTTGGACCATTATGTTTTATGAACTGCTGTTATTGTTTGGAATGCCAGTGTCAAACCTTTCAATCAACACAAGCACAGTTCTTACAGAAAGCAAGAGTTTTCTACATTTTTGTAAGAGCTAATCTATTTTGATTTGTATCTTGAGAAATACTGGGTCTTCAATTCTAAATCTGATAGTATGTGTTTCTGTTATCTGATAATACCTGGTAGATACAGTCAAGCGAAGATCAGGACTTGACTGTGTGTTGTTTATGACCTCTCAGACCTCTGTCCTTTAGTTAGATTTACTGCATTGTTAGGAATGAAGAGCTCAAGAAGATTGTGAGAATGAGATGTGTGCCATTAATGATAGTGTGTTACTTTGGTGTATTTGAGATTTCAGAGTAGTATTGTGTAAGAAAATTCGGTTTGGAGGGCTTTGGGAGGGAGAAAATAATTTTTGGTAATCATGTTGTGTTTTAATTTAAAATATTGTATAATTAATATGTAATTGAATTATTTTTTGAAAGATGGCTTGTTGCCCTGTCCATACTTGGAAGTTTGCCTAGTTAAATAGTTTTAAAAAGAAGATCAAAACAGACTCTGGTCTGACACTAGTCTTGTGCACTATGTTTGTTTTTGACTCTTCTACTTTTGTTTAAAGAGTTCCAACTTCTACACAGACTTAAGAACTGCTGGCCACACAAAATGTTCAAACAGTAGCACACACTGACAAATACTGTAAGGTAATTGTGCATGTAAAGAAATTTTTTTAAGTTTTTTCTTGACATTTTGTGCAATTTTTACATAATCTGAGTCATTAATACTGAGTGCAAACTACAGAGGAACAGATTATTTTCAGCAAGCTTTTTCCTATTGGACACAGTAAAGCACAAAGTGAGGTGTACTAGTTCAAGCATGGCTCTTGTACTGAGTGCAGTAGTTATCTGCTTCAGTTAAGCCTTGATTTTTCTGACTGCAGTTTGATGCACTTGTACACATTACAGTGCAAAACATCTATGTCAAGTGTTCTTTCCTTTAGTGTATCTACTCCATTTCTATATTTAAAATACACTTAAAATCCCTCTTGTTATTACTCAGTTCTGGTGTGTTCTTGATTCCCATTTGGTATGTGATCAGATTTTGTACTGGGTATTCTTTACCTTACTGCACATCTTCATTAATTGAAGAGATGACTCTTACAGAAGTTGAAGGAACTTCCCATTCTGACATCTGCTACAGATGTTGGCGGAGAGTTCAAATATTTCTTGCATACAATATTAATTTGAGAACATACAGCTGGGTATAATACTGAAGACAGTCACAGAGAGCAGTCTTGTAAATCTTACATTAGAATCCATGGATTGTTCCATATTAAATAATACACTGAATTTCTGTATTCTTAGATAGGTGTTTTTTTTAATTTTATGCGGGTTAAACGAATAGATTCTTTGTAGTAATCATGCCTCATTGATCTGTTTCGTAGCACTTGATTGTGAGCAAATTCTGTACATAGTGTGCTTCAGAAAAGGGTCAATTATAGAAAGTTAGTAAATAATTGAAGAATTAGAGTAGGTAAATGTTGGGCTTGAAATTCTTACTGTAGAAAATGTGAGATTTTACATGTTGCTTTACCTCTTGTACAGAAACAGAAAAATTTAGTGCGGGTGCTGTCATGATAAAAGCTCATCAAGCAGTACATTCAGTTGACTTTCCTTTGTCAACTGGACTGTCTTTTTTAAGGAAATTAAACCAGTAAATTTTCTGTAGCATTTTACATATTTAAATTTAAAGAAAGGGAAGAAGCAGTGCTTTGGATGATTTACCGTTACTCATTTTCTCAGGTGTGACTGTGAACCTGCAGTACTAGAAATATGCAGTTTATAAAATATTTTTTTGTAGCTGTTATACAAATTGAAAGTACAGTAATTGTCCTGAGACACTTGGTTCAAACAATCTTCTAAAAGTCTTTGCAGAACTGAAAAATAGTGTGAGAGGTTTATGTTTACAGTAGTAAAGCAAATAGCCTTTGATCTTCTTTTTCTGTTCACTGTGGGATGGGAGGGACTGTGCCATCCCTCTCTCTTTCCAAAAAGAGGTAAAACTATTTTTTTGCCTAAAAAAATAGGTTGGTCCAAATGACTGAATAATACGTGCAGTAGTCCTTCCTTGAATGAATTCTTGCTTCTTGTGAATGTGTTGCTGGCTGCCTTATGCCAGCATATATGTACTGCTGTTTTAATAGTTCTGATTTCAGTGTGTATTTTTTAAAGCAGTAATAGTTCTGAACAGCAGAACAACAGAAAAACACAAAACCCAACGACAATGCTTTTTTTCAGCTCAATCTCTTTTGCTGCAGGGGTATGTTGTAGTCCCACAAGGAGATTGAATAAAATCCCTGGCTGAACTATAGCTCAGCTGTTAGCAGTAGTCCTCTGCCCTCAATGGCTGGCAGTAGTGGAGAGTTCCTGGGGAACTATTTGACCTCTACCCTTTGGTTTGAATGTTCCAGTCAGAATCTGCTGCTTCTGTTTGTGCTCACTGTGAGTGCTTTATGCAGGTAAAGTGTGGGGTTGCTTTTCCTACTTTTTGGCTGCTTTATCTGTAGGGCACATCACATTTTCCTATTTCTAATTCAGAATGAAATGTTGTATTGTCCGTATCTTAACAGTGTGTCTGTCTGTAGAATACTGCTTCTCACACCTTTCCTCCAAGTCCCATCAAGGCAGCACTTCTGTTTCTAGTGCAGCAGTATTCTAAAACTTTCATGAGAACACAGCAAGCTGGCCAGTGCAGTGCTGGGTGGGTTGTGATCTGGTGCTTCTTTTCCTTTTCTCACCCTTGTGGTTTTCTTGTAACACTTGCTAGCTTTAGTGGTCAGTTATTAACATTGCTGCTGGTATTGTTGCATCTTCTTTGGCTGAGTTTTGCAGTTTCAAGTATATTACTCAATTCATATGTCGGTTAGAAAAAGTTACATGTGAGAATGTTAGTTTCTTCCAATACTTTGTATTTGTTTGCTGAACATTGCTGTTACATTTATTTTGACAGCAGAGGTAAAATACAAAAAAACACCTTCAGTTTTAAGATTGGTGTAGTCCAAATGTGAGAAATAGGGATTTTTTTTCCTTTGTATTTTAGATAATTTGAGTATTTTTGAGAATCTAGTTGCTGTTGTTACTATAGTTTCATTTGGCCAAATGTGTTTACAAAATGCATTGCTTTTAAATATTTATGTGTTTTTGTTGTGGCATACAGTCCTTAGTAGATCAGAACTGAACTGTGTAAAACAGATAAATGTGACTGTCAGTGCTCACAGTTCAGTTGGTGGACTGTACACTCCAGTTGCTTTAGCACACAAAATGTGTTATGATTCTTAATCATGAGCAGAAAATAAAGCAATTCTGTTAGCTGTTCTGGGTAGTAGTTTTTTAATCAGGGAAGCAGAGATGAGGTTTGTAGGGCAGCAGGATACAAATTTCTGAAAATTTTGTAGTACAGTTTTTCTCCCACAGGGAGCACACTGTGAGAGCACTAGTGCCTAATAGTTGCTAGCAGTGCAAAGATAACAGCTCAAGCTCACAAGAGAGTGTGGTGATGTTTTAGTGTTGACTTGAAAGGACTGTGAATTGGATGCATTTGTTTTAAATGAGATAAAAATTACATCAGTAGTAAAAGCTATAGGAACACTCAAAGGGTCATTTTAATAATTTAGGAATCATCTAGTCAACAGTAGTAGGTAGTTCCCATGTCATTAAAAATAAGTCTTTCTTGCTATAAATCAGAGTAAGAACAAGCTAATATATAGCGTTAATTTAAAGCTAGTCATGCAGGGAATACAAGTATGTTAGCTGTTAGAAAGAGGGCTGTGAAGTAAAGTCCTTTCTTCACAAAAAAGGCATTTCCCAGTTCTGTAGTTCTGTTCTTTTTTCCCCATCCACTTCTCTCACGTGCCTGATGAGCTCAGCACAGCCTGGTCAAGAGAGGGAATAAGCGAGTTGCAGGTGCTCACAGGCCTGCAGCAGACACAGCAGGGTGGCAGCAGCACAGCAGAGTGTGGCACTGTCAGTGTCAGACCTCTGCCTTGAGGCAGAGTAGCTGAACAGTCAGAAGGCTGCTATTTCCACCCCCTTGCATTCGAGCTGGTAGGCTCAGGGTTGCCTTTCAGAATGTCAGTCCTAGCAGATCAGCTGTTTGCTTAGGTGCAAAAATTCTTGTCATAACAGGCAGAGATTGGTGATGGCAAGATTTTGTAGCATGTTTATGTATTGACTCAAACTGAGAAGCTAAGGATGCTTAGAAAAAAACCTGAGGATCATTTTGGCACAACTGCTGAAAATGATCTGGTTTTTGGGTTTTTTCTGAAATGATTGTTTGGCCATGTTATTTAAAAATTCCCACCACTTACAAGCATCAGACCAGAATGTTCCCATTCTGTCTTGAACTGGTGTTTCTACTTCAGCAAAAACTTCGGCAGGCCGCTTCACAAAACTTAAAACAAACTGCATCTTGTGTCATACAGGTTCTTGTCATATGAAATTCTGACTAATAACTTGGATTTCTTTCCTTTTTGTCCAAAATATGTGATTGATAACCCCAGCAGAGAGGGTTATGAACAGAAAGCTCTGCCCTAGTTATTGTGGTTTTCAAATGG